TCTCACCAAATCAGTTCCTTGTATAACTCTCTAATTTCTCATGGTAATAGTATCATTTTCTGAACCATCCAGGCTCCTAATGTCTGAGTCATCTCTCTTTGTTTAATTCACTTTCCTTTTCCCCAAACTCAAGCCAAGGTGAAGGAATGGAGTAGGGAGTGACAAGGGCCAGGAGGACTGACATTACCAAGAAATTTCCTCTTAGAAAAAGGAGAAGATGACAGGGGAGATGTACTGAGCAAAGGAGGGGGAAAGACTAGGATTTGAAGGACCCTCTGGGGTGACACTTGCAGACCTCAAGAAGTGAGCCCAGCATGAGAGGCGGGGATAGAAGCAAACCATGGTATCTGGGTGCTGCAAGACAGTCTAACTTCAAAAACGTACCTGAAGCGGGGAAAGAATATACTTCTCTATGGATTTAACTCAAAATCAAATGAGTCAGGCTGTAAAGAAGAAAGGTTGGAAATACAAAGGACTAAAAAATAGGAATGTTAGTTCAAGACAATCTGGGTTTTAACAGTTACATTATATACCTATAAATTACCTAACTACAAATGTGATACCTTGAGATTTTCTTCAATGAGAGTAAAGCAGCTTTCTGCCTGGGTGTTCTCGAAACACAAGAGGACAGACGAAACACCAGGGGAATCAGGGCTTGGTTGTGATGATGACTTATACAGAAGACTCTTCTCCATTCCCCAGGAAGGGCGCATGAAGGAGACCACAACAGACTTTCTGATGGAGGGGACTCCAGCAGTTTTCCTGTGTTATGCCTTCCCAAATGTTAGCCTTAGGAGTCAGAAATGAACCCTAACACCTCCTGATAATCCATTCCAGATCGACACTGACAAATCCCTACTTCTGTCTGTCACCTCCTTGGGTGATGTAATCCACTACTGACATGTAGGGGCCTTTGCCTTTTACCTGACCTTTCTCTTTTTCCAGGTTTTGGGGAGCTCTCCTGAAATTCTAGTATTCTGGAATTCAGTAAACGTGCACTGTTTAACTTTCCTTACTCTTGCAATTTTACAGACAAAGTTGTATCTCCAGACTGGGAGTATTTATACTTCCACTTGGTGCACAGGTAGTGCCCTTCAGACCTTCCGAGCAGCAACACTCATCCTCTTAAAATGCTATTAAGCATCTGATCGGCAGAACTGAAGGTGGCATTGCATGTGTGGAAATGCCATGATTTTGTAGAAGAATAAGGCATCAGAATACTATTATCTGGACATGGGGATCTCCAAAATGTAGGCCCCTACTGGCAGCTGTCCCATCCTCCACTATCTTCCTCACCACCCAGAACATGCCTGGCACAGAACAGCCCCTCCACCAACACCTGTGAAATCAATGTCTCTTGATTTCAGCCACACAGTGATAAATACACACATATATGTATATGTATACGTATATGTATACATGTGTGTGTATATATATATATATATGAAACAACATAAAGAAAAGCTTCAAAAATTTCAACACATCAGTATTTTTTCCTGTAAGCCACGTTAGCTCAGATCCTGTGGAGGAGCTTTTCTTCCACACCCATTTCTGGATCTCATTCCTTTAGCTCTATTATAATCTACCTCAAATCTAATAACTGTTAGTAACACCTCTTAACTGGGGCTACTGTGTGTGAGATCTTAGCCCTCCAATCTGTTGGTACCCCTGATACATTCTCCTCCCATCACTTTTCAGCTTTGTGGTCTTGATCAATTTCCTATCTCATGCACATTCGTCCTTCTGCCACTCTGATCTCACCTCCTTCTCCCCGCCCCCCCACGCCCACCTCCAACGGCTCCTCCGAGTCCACACTGCACAGCCTGGTGTGTGAGACTCAGGGCTGTGGCCTATGAATCTCACAGACTCTCACGGAACCCCTCTGCTCTGGATCAACCTACCTCCTCAGCATGCCCCAAACACACCTTATCCCTTTCCCTTTGTGCCAGTTTCCCAAATCCTATACAACTTTCAGGCTCCAGCTTCGGGACGTCCAAAAGGGCAGCTTTAGGGAAACACAATGACTCTAGCATTTGTGCCAGATGCTGGAATGTACAGTTTTGTAACAGGAGGTCCCCAGATAGTGTGCTAAATTTACTGAGGTTCTCCGGGTTGAAAGTCATGAAAGAGAGGAACTCACAACTGTCCAAATGTTGCCTGCCTTTGTCTTTTTAGCCTTGCCATGTGCTCTCCGGCTCATAGCCACAGTAATTTACTGATTTTCTTTCTACTGAACAAAGTTGCTTAAAAAAAATGTCTCATGAGCTAGAGTTACCAAGTTCTGCAAACTAGTGTGAACAAACGATTCTGCACATGGCCAGATCTGTTTGATTGCATGTGCGCATGAGCTGGCTAGCGAAGAGCCAGTCAGTGTTACACGTTTACAGGAGTAGGTCTTCATTTGCTCTTCTTGTGAAGCCATGTGGCTTACATTTTATCAATCATGTGATATAAAACAGCTTTTCTTCAATTTAATGAAATATGAGGGAATATCCAGTTCAGGGTCCCTGCAGATGAAATAGCCTCAAATGATATCTCCTCCCCCCACCAGGTCTGTACACACACACACACACACACACACACACACACACACAGTGACACTCTATAGCTGATGCAAATGGGGCTTGGTGACCACAGCAGGAGCACATTCTCAAGTGGTGGCCCTTCCTCCTGCTGAACTGTGCTCCGGGGAGAAACCTCAGGCATGTAAGGCCTGCCCAAGCCAGATCCTCGGCAGCCTCAGAGGAGGCCTGGAGACCATGACAGTGCCTGGTGAGTGGTGGCGGGCAGTGAGGAAGAAGTTTCTGCAGTGTCCCTTGTCACACCACCTATGCATGGATTTTGGGAAAGGAAAAGGGCATCTAACCTAGTGAGTCAGTTTGCACCTGAGGATGTTGAATGGAGGGAAAAGGGAAGGAAGAGAGGAACATTGGGAGTATGACTGTACTTACTGCCATACCAGAGGTCCCAGCTCTGGATTGGATATATTTTAGGTCACAATAATACTCAGTGTTCCTTTATACCAACTGACCTTATTTTTATATATTATATATTTTATTATAAATATATAAGTATAAAAATAAAAAT